TGGCAAAGAATACACGCTGATTTTGCCGGCCCCATACAAGGCAGAAATTACTTGGTTGTTGTCGACGCCTTCACGAAATGGCCAGAAGTATACGACATGCCGAAAATGACGTCAGAGAGTACTATAAGAAAATTGACAGGTTTGTTCGCTTGTTTTGGGGTTCCTGAGATCTTAGTGACTGACAACGGCACTCAGTTCATGTCATCTGTCTTTAAACGGTTTTGCACTGAAAATGGCATATCACATCTACAGTCTCCCCCGTACCATCCTCAGTCGAATGGCCAAGCAGAAAGATTCGTGGATACTATAAAACGAGCTCTAGTTAAAGGGGGAGGAGAGGCCATCCCAGAACAAGTAATCAGCAAGTTCCTTTTGTCTTACAGAGTTACCCCCAATCCGGCAGTACCCGAAGGTAAGTCACCAGCCGAGTGTATGTTCGGAAGGAAAATTCGAACAATCTTTAGCAGTATGTTGCCACCTTGAAAGACAAGAAAACCCACGAATGGAAACCATATGGTCACTCGTAGCTTCAAGGTGGGTAAAAGGGTACTCGTTAAATCGTATCAAGGTGGAAAAAGGTGGGAACCAGGTATTATAGAGCGTCGAATTGGAAGCGTATTGTATTTAATCCGAAGAAATGTCGGTACTTGTATAGGACACATCAATCAAATTCGAAGGGATGGCAGAACATGGATGCCACAAAGCCGGCTTCCATTTCATTTGCTCATGGATTCGTCTCCAAAATGCACTCAGGCGCACGAAGGTAGAAAAGATAAAAGACGCAAGAGCAAGGCAACACAACCTTCGAGAGTAATGAGTCGCAAGAGAATCGCGGTAACTCAATTCCAGGTGGATCCGAGAAAAAGGACTTATACAACAGACTTTAAAGGGGGGAGGTGTGAGGATGGTCCACAGGTGAAGTCGAGGAGGCTCTAGGAAGCCCAGGAAGAGCCGCAGACATTCCATCCAATCAGGGCTAGGGGAATGTTCTAGAAATGCCAACGTGGAGCTTCCCCATTGGATGGATTAGTTTGATACCTATGTGCTTATTGGTTGACCTAAATGATAATTTACTTTCAGCCAAAAACTATAAATACACGAGATTTCTGTGCTATATTTTGACATTGTTCGGGGCAATAAACTTCCTGCTTACCAGTCTTTGTCTTCTCTCTTTGCGACGTTGCGGGTTCTATCGTTCAAGTAGTCAAGTAGTTCGCTGCATATTAAGAATCAAGGCTCTAGATATAACAGCAAACCTCTTATCATTTTCGTTCATTTTCCCAGTCCATGTCGTCCCATGATATCTTCCTATCCAGTGTTGTCCATTCCAACCTTGGCATTTGAATCTCCCAACGGAATGGTCAAGTCGTTTGTTGGACACTTCTCGACGATTAACTGCAATCTATCGTAGAATTGATCTTTAACGTCTTCATTTTAGTCGTTGGTAGTCTCATAGCATTGATGACGTTCATTGTAGTGCTTTATTTCTTTGTTTTGAAGGAGGCTTTGATAATCCTTGGTCCATGAGATTCCCATCCTATAAGTGATTTTTGTGTTTGTTTGCATCAGTGCAACTCCTTGTGTATGTGGAGCATTTTCTTCTTCATGACCGGAGGATAACAGAAGCTCTCCTGAAGATAGCTGTTGTTGTCCAACCTGTATCCAATGTGTTTCACCGATCTCAAACACATCCAGTTTGTATCTTTTGGTTTCTGCAGCTATTTGGATGGTTCTTTCGGTCTCCCAAATTGTAGGAGCATTCCATGTACTTACTTACTTACGCCTGTTACTCCCAATGGAGCATAGGCCGCCGACCAGCATTCTCCAACCCACTCTGTCCTGGGCCTTCTTTTCTAGTTCTATCCAGTTCTTGCTCATTCTTCTCATGTCTGTCTCTATTTCTCGGCGTAATGTGTTCTTCAGTCTTCCTCTTCTCCTTTGACCTTCAGGATTCCATGTGAGGGCTTGTCTTGTGACACAATTAGCTGATTTCCTCAAGGTGTGCCCAATCCACTTCCAGCGCTTCTTCCTGATTTCTTCCTCCGCTGGAATCTGGTATGTTGTCTCCCACAGTAACTTGTTGCTGATAGTGTCTGGCCATCGGATCCGAAGTATCTTGCGTAGACAGCTGTTAATAAACACTTGTATCTTCTGGATAATGGCTTTCGTAGTTCTCCAGGTTTCCGCCCCATACAGTAGGACTGTCTTCACATGTGTATTGAAAATTCTAACCTTGGTGTTGGCTGACAATTGTTTTGAGCTCCAGATGTTCCTCAGTTGTAAATATGCTGCTCTTGCTTTGCCTATTCGCGCCCTCGCATCTGCATCAGATCCACTGTGTTCATCGATGATGCTGCCCAGATATGTAAAGGTTTTCACATCCTCCAGAGCTACTCCGTCAAGTGCAGTTCAATTGGTGCATATTGTATTGTATCAGAGTCTTGCTTCCCCCTTTGTGTATATTAAGACCTACTGCTGCTGAGGCTGCTGCTACACTGGTCATTTTCTCCTGCATCTGTTGTTGCGTGTGTGATAAAAGAGCCAGATGATCTGCGAAGTCTAAATCGTCCAGCTGAATCTTATCTGTCCACTGTTCCCCGTGCTTCGTTCTAGATGTTGACGTCTTCATGACCCAGTCGATCACCAGGAGAAAGAGAAAGTGTGAGAGTAAGCAACCTTGTCTAACACCGGTCTTTACCTCGAATGAGTCGGTGAGTTGTCCTCCGTGGACAATTTGGCAGTTTAGTCCATCATAGGAGTTCCGTATGATATTGACTATTTCCTCAGGCACGCCGTAGTGTCGAAGAAGCCTCCATAGTGTCGTTCTGTCCACGCTATCAAATGCTGTCTCGTAGTCAATGAAGTTGATATAGAGTGGCTAATTCCATTCGATTGATTGTTCCACAATGATACGTAGAGTTGCTATTTGGTCTGTACACTATCTATCCTTACGAAATCCAGCTTATTGATCTCGAAGTTGGGCGTCTACGGAATCCTTCATCCTGTTTAACAATACTCTGTTGAACACTTTTCCTGGTATTGAGGAAGAGTGATGCCTCTGTAGTTGTCGCACTTGCTGAGATCGCCTTTCTTTGGTATCTTGATCAGAAGTCCTTTTTTCCAGTCTGTTGGTACTTGTTCTTCGTCCCAAATCTTACTGAAGAGGATGTGGAGTATCTTGGCAGTTGCTGTTACATTTGCTTTCACTGCCTCTGTCGGAATGTTGTCTGGTCCCGCTGCTTTGCCACTCTTGACTTGTCTAATGGCCATGCTGATCTCTTCAATTGTTGGTGGGCCAATATCGATTGGGAGGTCCGTGGGTGCTGCTTCGATGTTGAGTGGGTTCAGTGGAGCTGGTCGATTCAAGAGTTCTTTGAAGTATTCTGCCCACCTGTTTCGTTGTTCTTCCATGTCGGTGATTACTTTGCCTTCCTTGTTTTTCACTGGTCTTTCTGGTTGACGGTAATTTCCAGCAAGTTTCTTTGTTGTATCATACAATTGTCTCATGTTTCCTTCTCTTGCAGCCTTTTCCGCTGTCGTTGCTAAATCTTCAACATATTTACGTTTGTCGGTTCTGATGCTCCTCTTCACTTGCTTGTTTGCCTCTGTGTATTCGGCTTGTGCCTTGGCTTTTTGCGCTCTTGTTCGGCTGATATTGATTGCTGCCTTCTTGTTCCTCCTTTCTTCAATTTTATCCAGTGTACCAACAGTGATCCATTCCTTGTGATGGTGCTTCCTTTTGTTCGGAACTTCCTGACATGTTTAAACGATTGCCTCCTTGATACCTTTCCAGTCTCTCTCCATTGTAGTCCCCTCTCCATTGAGTAGATCATGAAAGGCCTGGAACCTGTTGCTGAGGGCTATGTTGAATTTGTTGAGTTTGTCTGCATCTCGAAGAAAGGCCGTATTAAACTTTTGTAATGTTGTCCGCCCCGTTGTCCAATGCTTCTTGAGTTTTAGTTTCATCTTGGCGACCAGCAAATGATGATGGGATGCTATATCAGCTCCTCTTCTGGTTCTCTTATCCTCCATCGTCCTCCTGAACTTTTTGTTGATGCAGACATGGTCGATTTGATTTTGTAGTAAGATTCGGTGAAATCCAAGTGGCTTAATGTATGTTTTTGTGTGGGAATATGGTGCCACCTATGACCAGTTTATTGAAGGCTCATAGGTTTGCAAATCTCTCACCATTTTCATTCCTTTCTCCCAGTCCATGTCGTCCCATGACGTCTCCGTATCCAGTGTTGTCCATTCCAACCTTGGCATTGAGATCCCCCATCAGAATTGTCAGGTCCTTGTTTGGGCACTTCTCGAAGATTGACTGCAGCCTATCGTAGAATTGGTTTTTAGCGTCTTCATCGTAGTCGTTGGTAGGCGCATAGCATTGGATGACGTTCATTGTAATGCCCTCTCTCTTTGTTTTGAAGGAGGCTTTGATGATCCTTGGTCCATGAGATTCCCATCCTATAAGTGCATTTTGTGCTTTTCTGGACAGCATCAATGCAAGTCCTTGTGTATGTGGGGCATTTTCTTCTTCATGACCGGAGTATAACAGAAGTTCCCCTGAAGATAATCGTTGTTGTCCAACCTGCGTCCAATGTGTTTCGCTGATACCAAGCACCTCCAGGTTGTATTTTCTCATTTCTGCTTCATCATGAGGCGTCATAATTATTCCTTGAACTCGGAGGGCAGAGTTTAAATTTTTTGAATTATTTTTTCTGGTTAGTGTTTTTTTAGCGAGTTGATTTTTCTACGTGATGGGGTCGCTAATCTCATGCCCAACCCTCCTTCCTTACCCGGGCTTGGGACCGGCAGTAACTCTTGAAGAGCTACAGGTGGAGTTGATGATGATGATCGATATATATTCATGTGCTGGTAAACACGGGTAAATGAATAGTGTTAAAGCTGTGTACAATCAGTATTATTGTTGCTAACCTTACCACTTCTGGTTTTATGAATTTTTATGCTTATATTTCTTCATTTAACTTCGCTTAAATCAGACATTGAAAAACGAATTCGAGTGGAAAAATTAAGGGCTTTGTTTGCTCAAGAGTTGGAGTCAGTTTCTGACCCTATGTGTCGTCGTGGCCTACTTCAAAGTATTGGACTCAAAGAATTTTCGGATTATTTAGCTTTATTACCAGAAGAACGTGGTACTGTGGAGGCAAATACTCTTCTGAAGCAAGCAGCAGAGAATGTTAAGACAGCCACTCGACAGTATGCACGTCGTCAGGTGATTATATATTATTTGTTATTTATCTGTTGAAGGGTTATCGCTACTCGTGTTTGCATTGTTGACTTGGTCGGTTTTAATTTTTATAATCTCAGTAATCTGCCCTTATTTTAAAGTAAGTTTATGTCAATTCATTTAGTATTGTTTGTTTGAATCTTCCCATCGATGTGTTAGCACTGTAACTGATCAGTCTCTGCTTACTAAGTTGGTAATTTTCGTAGATACCTTTGTGGCTTTAATTCTTTGATTATTTTCCGTTCACCTTTAATACTACTTTACAAAATTTAGTATTCTGTATATTTAGTATGCAAAATTTAACATAGTCATGCAATAAATCAGAGTGAATTAAATGATACCACTCACTAATCATTTACAGAATTCCATATTTTGTCGACTTACCTGAACATAGAGCTTTTGTTAGATTTGTTTAATTATTATGTCATTTCAATATACATAACTCCTTTAACCATCTTGATGGGAACAAAAATAAAGATTTTTGATCAGATTAACATGAATCCATGTTATTTCGTTAAATTCTTTTTATCTTTTTACAACCTGTAAAATTAATAAAACATTATCCATACATTTAAATTAGTTAATCCTTTAAACTAGCTTATGTGGTAGATAAACTGTAATATCTTAATCATTAATAATTTGTTTAATATTTTAATGTGATTGGCCTCCACACATGCATGCTTATGAAAAAACATATTCTACTACATCTACGTATCTGGTCACATATTTATTCCACCTAATTACTGAATAATTGAGTCCTTCCACTATAGATGTATATATTTAGCTGACAGCAGCTCGTCCTTTTCCATATCTATTTGGATGGTAATTATTAAATCATTTATTCTGCTCTGTTTTTTTTTCTGGTTATTTGAGTTGTGTGTCGGAAAGAAATTATTCTAACTACTTCATAATAACGACTATACTGTCGGTTTGTATATGAAGCATTGAGATTAACGCGCAGATATCCGTTTTAGAATACACAAATGACTTTAATTGAAAGTTTTGAGTATATATAAACGTATCATAGTAAGGATGTGAATATATTAGAGACTAAATAAAAATATTGCAAATATATTATTTCTATGGTAGAGCATTCTACAATAAGAGTAACAAAACATCTAAGAGAGCTATTCATAAGTACTTACGTAATTAGGAAACGCTAATAATTAGTAAACATGAAATGATTAAAGCTCAGTTGTCCAGTAACTTAAATAACCCATGGTGTCATTAAAAAGGATCAAATACAATTCAACGAAGGAAATTTCCTTTTCTACAATATCATTTACTCGAACTGTACAATTGTATTTATAGTTAATCAGTAAATAATGTAGTCTATTAAAGAATAAGAGGATTGCCTAATCCTGGTTGTCAAAGTTTCATGAAGATCAAGATAAAATCATATTTGTGAAAAGCAATTGTCCATTTGACGATTATAAGAAAGATAACGAATAAGTTAAAAGTATGAAGGTGATAACAATTATTAATTTAAAATATAAAATATTAAAAAGATGTATTAATGAGCAATTTTCCGTTTATAAAAACTTAGGTGTTCGTGCCACGTAAAAATGATGGTTCTGAATATCAACAACATTCTGATTAATAATGATAAAAACGTAATGTACGTTGAACAAATCAGTAGCACAGTAGATAGTGCGTTGGCATTTGAAGCAAAAGGCAATAGGTTCGAGTCTCAGTGTAAACACCATCACTATGATATAGATCTATCTAGCTGACGAAACGGAAGTAGAAAAAAAACGTTCGTCCTGAGTTCTACTATTAGCTAAGATTCATTCATTCTGTAAGACGACTTTTATACCATGAATTAACAATAGTGACCTGGAATTTCTGTGAACTAAAAGTTATTTTAATTCAAAAATTCTCTTATTACGTTGGGGTTATGCATAGAATTCCAAGCAAGGAGTCTAAATAAATTGTCTGGTATTTCTATGGTGTATCTAACTGACTTGTATTATCAATTAGTGTGAGTAAAGTATAAAAAAACAACATAATAATGTGCTGTAAACTTTTTGTTCATTCATTAAGTCTGTAGGAGGCATATAAAAAAGTAGAAATTACTGGGGTTTAAATGATTCCAAATCGTATTATGAAGAAGTAATCACAGTGTCAACTATCCATTTGTTAAAATAATAAAAATGAGTGTTTTGTTGATTGTTTCCAACTGTTCATTATTTAATACGGTGTATTTCAAATTGAATCTATTTCGATTGGTAATTGTAAACGATTAGTGTACTTTATCTTTTTCGAAGTTTGGCATGCTTTGTTACTTCATGTCTGTCTGTAATATCTTTTGTTTATTTTAATAATTTGTTTCCTTGATAGATTCCTCTGTGTACTGTAAAAATATGCACCAATTTACTACCTGTTATAAACTGTAGGATACTTGTTATAACGCTAAGGTTTCTTGTTATAACAGTCCTTTCACTTTTTACACGTATGTGGGACATGAATTTACCTTAGACAAATATCTACACTATATTTCCCACCCAGTGTCTATTCTACAGGACTTCAACACAACTCAGATGAAGAACACGAGATTAACCTGACTATAACGTCAATATATTTCCACATCAAAATCTGACACAAGGAACAGTCAGGATAGGGGAATATATATATATATATATATATATATATATATATATATATAAAACACAAACTACACCTGTCACACTATCCACATGTCTGATTCAGCGAACAATCAATCATTATCATTCTCACCCACACAACATTACCTATATTAGGTTCTACTTTCTGCTTACCAGTTTTTGTTAAAAATTTAATATTACTTAAATATGAAGTATGGTAATATGTTCTTAATGTTTATTTTTTTATCAGGTTTCTTGGATTAGAAATCGGTTTTTACGACGTCCTGTAGAAGGTAGCATTCCTGTTTATCGTATAGATGTGACAGATTTCTTAGATTCTGAATCTCCAGACATTTGGCATAAAACAATTATTGCACCAACTGTACGCTTAATCTACAATGAATTGATGAAAATAGATGGTTTACTCTTTGAAAACCTGAAAGATAATGATTATCTAAAAAGTTTACTTGATATCTATCCTGAAGATTCATGTCCTAAAGCAGAATCATTTCTTTTGCCTAAATCTTTTACTGAATCCAAAAATAACAACAATTCTCCATTCATTTGTTCAATATGTTCAAATAGAATATTTACACAAATTGATGGTTGGGAAGCTCATTTAAAAAGTAGATCACATCAGAAACGTGCAGCAAAATATAAGAAAAGATTAATTATTGAGAAAGCAATGAAAAATTTGTCATCATAATTTTTTTGTGAAATAGATTATATTTTGTACAAAAGTTTTCTCAATAAATTATGTTACATATAATATTTGTACTGAACATTCAAATGGTTATATAGTTTATGCCCTGGTACGGCCGAGAGTGGGGAGAGTCCATCCTCCCTATCCAAATGCTCTCACATGGCCACGCATATATAGCCTCTGCCAGGGAAGTCCTACTCACTGCCTTCTCGTGGCAGGGGTGTTTTTTACAAAAGTGAGAGGACGAAAAGCGAATGTCCGGCACTTTAACCGGGTTGGTGGACACGGAAAGTTCACCAATTGTTGGTCACCGGCTACCATGGAACTGCATCTCCTCACGATGCTCCACTGCCTTGTGGGTTAGACCTCTAGGTCAAAGGCTCGGGGTGTGGCCTCCTAAGAAAACTACCTGCTTCAGTTTGGGCACCCGGGCAGTATCACAGCCCTCAAGCAAATCGAATGAGATTTGTGGGGCGCATATTTATCTGGTGCTTCCTTGTACCAATATTTATGTGTTTAAATAAATAATAAAATAAAATGGTTCATGACTTTAAAATGATAGTTTCGTCGACTTTCAGAATTATGATGTTTAGTTAACTAGTTAATAATGTAATTCAGTAAATACTTCAAGTTTCGACCATTTGACTTGGATTCCATATATTTAAACAAAAAAATACTACAGTATTTGCATAATGAATTAAATTTACTTGTAAGATTTTGTTTTACTGTCTTATTTGCAACTCTGACTGTCAGGGAATCATAACTGTTTGTCAATTGAAATTTCTTAAATTACAGTAAATACCTACCGTATCGTATTTATTAAACGGAAACTATTTAGTGATATAGTTTGTTATAGTGATGTATTTTTTATTTTAACTTTTTGGGAGAAATGTCTTTACTCAGATTTACTAATAGGTTTTTGGATTTTAAAGTGTTCTGGTCTGACATTTATGTTGAAATAATACATAAGTTAATAAGTAGTCGAAAGAGTCAAGGGTTTCCTGTCGACTGAAACCAACCATCTAACACCAAAACATAGTGCACACTATGTCGAATCACTTAGACTAGTTGATCATACTGTAACTTGATCGATAAGATTCAGTCAGCACAGAAGGAACAGACCAATGTAGCATTGGTCACTACTCAGTGGTCGATCAGTTGTGAATGGGTTCAGTGTAGCTACAACCCAGTATATCAAGTCGGGTACTTTTTGTAGTTTAATTATTGATTTTAATCTCATCGTAAACCTAAACCTTTCGATCCAAGTCATATTGTACGAAGGATTTATTTAACCACCTATTTAAGATTCAATTCCATGGATCATTGAATAAAACTAGCATGAATCACTACACTTCTCGACAGTATAAAGACATAAATTCAAGAAAATTAGCGAAATGTTAGAATATACAAAATGAACATATACCTATATATACATATATAGCATTAAGTTGCTCAATGTTTGGAAAAGGAGTATGTTGGATGCATCTGCATCAATACCCTCAAATTTCAGCATTTTATGCGATCTCATGTCTCAAATTATCAAGTGGAAATCTACATTTTATCATAGCTCAAACATGAATCTCGAGTCATCGTAGATTCTCCGTATGTCCTGTTCAAGCTACTCTTGAGAACTTTTTGAAATTACTCTAATCAACGTTATGCTTCTGAGTTTTATTTTTTTAGGTATGAGTAAACTACGACAAATCAAATCAATGTTTAGGCGATGCACTTAATACGCCAAAGTGATTGTCATTAACATGCCAGTCAACTTTTGTTCAATTAGTATTGGGGAGTACTGTAGCTTAGAATCCTTAATTATCAAAATAGGCTGCTGTAACTGTTAAGGCAATCGATCACTAAGCTATAAGTTTAAATTCCGTCCGCCTATTTCTAATTGGACAGCTAATTGAGTATTACATTAGCCCTCACAAATCAAGAGTACGTCAAGGCTGGGTACGAGGACCAGTTACTGTTTTGCATAATAGGATTAGTTACTGTGTGTGAACTTGTACTAATACTTTACCCTTACTTCAGTATCGGGAATTAAATTATCAGTTCTCACTATCATCCGCTTAATCACAATGAATTATTTCAGAAGTTCTTCGCGATTGCTTGTGCCCAGTCAGAGATTTTCGTTCTCCGATTACCGTTTTGACGAATATGTTTGATTTGCCTTGATACTATGACACTTTCCAAATGTTTTATCGTATAGAAGATTTCATGATTTTAAGTGAGAAGACACACCATACACAGAATCATTTGTATAATGTTTACATCTCATTTGTAAGGGTTTAGATTCCCCCGCTGTTGATATTAAAGACTGCAAATGATCACTTTTGGCGTATGTGGACCCCGATAAGGTTGCCTTGATATTACCATTAATTCCCTAGGATTTTCAAGCGAAATTCTGATGGTGGTTAGCGATGGGATCCAGGACGTATGTTTGGTTGTATCTGAGACTCGTCAGGTGGATACCCCGGCTTTCTCCGTCGACGTTCACGTAGAGATTCAAGCCCGATGCGTTATCCACAGAGCCATTGAATTCAGATGGCCACTCGCTTAGTTAATGGGGATTTATTTTATTGTCACGGGTTGGGATCTGTACGTTGTTGATGAAATGTACATCATGAATATACTTGCCATGTATTACAAAAACTTAGCTCACCTGTTCATTGATGCCATGAAAGAAAATTAAATTAAGAGTGGACATTCTTCAGTCACTGCTCAAGAATGAATAATGAAGTTTTATTATTATGTAGGTAAATAAACTAATTAAACAGGTACTTGATTGTGAGCCACACTTTAAATGTCAGAGTTAATGATACTACGTGATCGCCCAACAAAATCATGTAGTTGTTTCGTTTCAAAGTATGCGGCATCGATTGCTTCGCATTATATCATACCTAGATATTACACTTTAATACACATGGTTGTAAGCAGCTGATGAGAAATCATGAATTCATATTTTTCCACCTCATTTATTGTTCTGGCTTTTTTCAAGTTCGTAAAAGAAACCAATTGTATGAATTTCTCGTAGATGACCAGTCAAGTAATTTACACTGTTTACTTGTCTAATCTTAGCCCATATCTGTGGTTAGAAGTATCTTAGTGACAGAATAGTTTCATATTATAAAATTCCCATCGATAGTTAATGCCCTTATAGTCCTGAATAAAACTTCCTCAAATTCTATTTCCGTTTTAATTTCTTAGTACTATGTTACAATGAAATGAATAATCATTTAAATCAGGCGGTTTAGACTACATCGTAGGTGAATTCGTTACTGCACAGTTTCCCACTATTTATTTTAAAAAATGTTTCTAATAATTGCTAAATTTCAAGGATATAATTGTCAGTTAATCATTCCGTTTCGAAATATGTTTCATTGGTATTAACAACTAGGCGATAAGTGTTCTACAGAGTTCTTTCTTTTAAAATTTTTAGCCTTCTCGTCAAATCTACCTTTTCTAGTGTTCAATAATTTGATTAAAAGATTGGGCCTGCATTGCTATATGTGCAAGATATTGATAAATGTTTATGTTTAAAAAGTATTTCACTAAAACTGTAACGGTTGTAGTAAAAAAGTATACAAAGTTGGTCACATATTTGGAAAACAAATGGGCAGATAAACATGCCTCATCGTTTCATAGTTATAAATTATTTAAAAACGGTAAGTTTTAGGTAATTTGTGGTTATTATTTATAGTTAATGATAATTCTACTGGCTGTTTGATAAGTCTAATCTATTGGCTGAATCTATTGAAACAATTTTGTTGATTTTTTTAATTTTCTTTAAGCTACACAAAATCTTCAAGAAAGCGTATACTGACTCAGCAACCTAAGAAAAATATAATAATGATGGACTTATCCATATACATTAGAATATCTCAATGTAATCTTTTTCATTACATGGGGATATAGTTAGTCAAGAAAGAAATACGTTTATTTAGTTTCTTAACTCATTCACCAGATTAATCTATCTAGTTATAAATTTCTCTTATTATAACTGAGATATTTCTATTACTCAGTATTCTTGGACACCAATTCTCTCGACAAGTCCCCAAATCAGAACACGGTTGAATAGGAAAGGAATTATATTCCGAATAACAAGGGTAGATGAAAGTAAGAAGCACTGTTATATCCCCTGGTGAATTATGAATGGTAACTCTAAGGACTATTTATCGACCAATGTATTATGCCTATTTCTTATTGTACAGTTGTTACGTAACTAAATTATTCATATTCGTGTTTTCTATTATTTTGATCTTTGATTTATGATCATACGATTCTTGAGTTATAATCAGTTTATTGATTACTTTGGTTTGTATAAAAACCCAGTATGCTTGTAAATAATGATTCATACTGCTGAGGCTGTTATTTGTGTTCTGCACTCAACTGGCTGGGCTAGGCAGATAGCAGGGCCGATACGCAATCAAGACTGCTCGTACAATTTCAAGTATCATTTGCGTCCGATCAATAAATTCACTCCTCTCTAAATTGGCGTTCATATATATTACGGGCGCATACGATATAACAACTGGCGACGGGGTAAAAAAATGGCTCTAACTTCCGATCAATTTCAGTTGCTAATCCAGCGACAAGAGCAGCGCTTCAGAAAGAGTCAATTGGAATTCATTGACAAGTTACATGCAAAGCTGCTGAATCACCCATGCTTTGGGGGTGCAACGGAAGTCGACGCATTAATTTTTAAATTGCGTACAGAACTGGAAATCGATTGCAGAACAAATGAATATTCAGAGGAAAGCCTCAATGAATCCGCGAAAGACAGTAATTTAAATGCAGCAGTAGCAGTCCTACATGATCAGCCCAATAGTCCGGTACTGTCTGTTTCAGAGACATGCCCTATACACGGTTCAAGTCCTATTAACCCCGAAAACGGACGTGCAAACAGTGGATCAACCTGTTTACAGAAAGACAATGTCTTACTAAATGCTCATAAATTTGCTGCAGTACCCTCCCACGAAGAAACGGGGAACAAACCGAGCAGTATAGTGAATACAGTGGCGCCAAATCAAACCAGTCACGATGCAAAAAATTTGTCTAATGAATCTAGTGATCAAGATTATCTTATTGTTCTGCCAGATCCCGATTATTTTGCTGATTCATATGTTCCAGTTCAAATCTCTTATAAAAATGGGAGAAAAATATCGGATGCATTAAATGATAATCAAGAATCCAATACAACTTTCATAGATACTGATTATCCTAATGATTCATTATTTACTAATGAGGTTCCGAGTAAATTCAAGGAAACTGTTTCAGAAGAATCAGACGCTGGTGACCTCAAATCGAATGTCATCGATCCTCACGATCTAATAAGTTCTCGTGGATTCTCAGTTAAATACGACGAATATGTCTTAAATAATGTCACAATAATGGTAACTTGGGTACATGAGGATCCAACAGTCTTTCGTGGGGGAGGATGAATTCGAGAAATTTAAAATCCGGATGTCAACTCCGTATTCCTCAAAAAAGGGGAGGTGTTATATCCCCTGGTGAATTATGAATGGTAACTCTAAGGACTATTTATCGACCAACGTATTATGCCTATTTCTTATTGTACAGTTGTTACGTAACTAAATTATTCATATTCGTGTTTTCTATTATTTTGATCTTTGATTTATGATCATACGATTCTTGAGTTATAATCAGTTTATTGATTACTTTGGTTTGTATAAAAACCCAGTATGCTTGTAAATAATGATTCATACTGCTGAGGCTGTTATTTGTGTTCTGGACTTAACGGCTGGGCTAGGCAGATAAGAAGGACCGAATAGCACCCAAGACTGCTCAGGGCATACGTTATAACAAGCACAATAAGAAAAACGTTAGTATATTTACAGTTTTTATCATGAGAAGATTCTATGGTGTTCTTTAAGTATCGACTAGCGCTGATTGACTTATTCTTATCCAATCAGCGTGCGCCAACGCAGTCGTCATGGGGTATGTTTTAATCCAATCTATGTCCTGGTAACACTAGTGGTCTGTGTTATTACTGTGATTGAATATTGAACATTACTTTCAGTAAAAAATGAACTTACGATTATTTCATTCGAGATACTGTAGTGAATGTTAATTTATTGTTTGCAACCTTGGTCCATGTCTACCTATTTATGTAAATAGAACGCATTTAGTTTATTAAATAAAAACAGTAAATAAGTTAGTTTGACATAAGGATCATCAATGACAACTCTTTATCAACATTTACCGCTGTTAGTTTCACTCCAAGTTTGTTCACTCTATTTTGTATCAAACTGTAAATAAGCTTATTGTACGATGTTCAATCAAGCAGTAACTTTAGAGATTTATTGACACGTACTTTTATTAATATGTAATATAGTTACAATTAAACTAGAGGAAAACTTTGATGAAGGTTTATCTCAAACTGTTTGGTTGCCTTTCTTTGGATTTGTATATATGTGCAGCAGCAGTGACCTCGATGATAGAAATATGATTTAATCATGGTTATTTCCTATGTGCTCTAGATAAGATAGGGGGGTAAATTTGCTTAAAATATATTGTGGATTTTATTGGAAAAATAATTCTATTTTGTAATGTCTAGCTGAGTAGAAAATTGGATTGCAGACGTTTTATCAATCTATCGTCTCAAAAGCTTCGTACATGTAAGGGCAGAGTTTCTGATGCGAATCTAAATTGCTACAATCGAGCATTCTTCTTTTTTATTTAATAAAATGATCACAGTTTAATGTAGCTTTTTTTAAAATTATATATGGGAAATATACGTCAATTAGTCTTGTATATTTGAATGTATTTACAGGTGTCCACTCAACTTTGGTAGATTTGGGTGACCTCAGTCAGTTATGGATGGATATTACTTGTCGTTCTCAGTCAATCTTAGAAATACTACCGACTCTAAGTAGACATCAGGTGTATGTCCTACGTCAGGTATAAATTGTATTTTTAGATTTATTCTATGTAATTGGCTTAATAATGTTCACCCTTCGTAGAGTTTAGTGTATTCTGCGGTTTTCCTTACGATTATAGAGGCTATCATTTTCAACAGTAGTCGACTAAGTAACATATTTTATTTGTTATCAAAATGTATGTAGAATAAATCTCTTTATTTCTCTCGTTTTGTTACAGGTACCTAAAGATTTGATGAAGATTTTGCCTGTAATGCTTCTTGCTCCGTTACCAGGAACGATATTAATTTTACCGATTTTGTAAGTAATAACTATAAAACTACAATAATATTATGGTAACTTAAAGTAATTCCAGATTTTATAATACTAATCGAGATTATATTCAGGATGAAGAATTATATACTATTATTTACACTATTCTTTGTTTTAGGCTCTTCTTTCCTTATCCTGACATATATATGTCGAAAGCGTGAGTCAATTGAAGCCAAACCACCATCGAAAACCTGGAAGCACTGGACGGCCATTTCGTCCTATTATGGGACTCCTCAGCAGTGCGCATCTACGATCCCACACTCACGAGATTCGAACCCAGGACCCACCAGTCTTGCGCCAGAGCACTTAACTGATAGACCACTGAGCCAGCATCCAACAGTGTTAATGTCTAACTTCAACGGACCCACGAAGTTAAGCAACCTTTCACCAATTGTTTTCAGTGAGTTGGTCGCGAGTGCGGGATCGTGGATGCGCACTGCTGGGGAGCCCCATAATAGGACGAAATGGCCGTCCAATGCTTCCAGGTTTTCCAAGCTTTCAACCATAAAAATACTAAATCTTCAGAAAACCGCTTCTGATAATAACATATATATGTATATATTTATTTTAATGTAAAAAACTCACTTGATTATTCATGGGAAATGCAAGATCACAGCTCATTATGAATGAATCTCAATAGGGAAATAAACTGGTTATTCATAATGTCAGGTAGAATAACAAGTTAATCATTGATTAAATGTAATTTATTGGCGGCAAAATATATCACTATGGTTAATGAGTAATATGAAACCTTACAAATGACAAAGTAATATTACCATAAATTACTTGCTTAATCAATAAAAAATAATTATACCCATAATAATTGTATAAGTTTTATAATTTCCTCTCCACTTTTATTCTTAACAGTTTATAATCCTTGAAATGAAAATGTGTTTGATTTATTTACTCTCTCATAAGTCATTCCGATGTATTTATTCCTAAAAGTGTGTGTGTGAACTTATGGGTGCAATCGAAAATAACTTAGAAAAGATATTTATCTAATTTCTTTTTGTATAGCCAAGGCTTCACTAAACCTTAGTATACGTCCTTGAAGGCTTTTGTACAACACTACAAACGCTGATTTGATGTCAACCTTATGACCAGTTTCAACTAAATGTTTCACAGTGGAGGAAAATGTTTGTCTATCCTGTGATCTTATTTGACCATTGGAATTTTTGTAGTACTGTCACTTTGAAAACGAAAGAAGGGATCAGGAAAAAGCTGGAAAAATCTTTCTGTAAGAATAATAATAATCTCACTTCCTTCCCAATTAATCCTGATAAATATGTCACTAATTTATCCTTTATTGTATTGCCCGTTCATGAAAAGGAGGCACTTTCTCTGGGTTTCAATTTTCCTGTCCCTATTACACAAATCTCTGAATTGACAATCAACGCCCAATTCGAAAACCTTTATGATCAATTGAGTACTTTAACCACCTCATCCTCAGAGAATTAAAGTTGGTTTAAAGCTAAATTAGTGGACATAGCGCATCAGTTTCACTCCTTTGGACCGAAGCAGAGAAGCATACTAACTTCTCAGCGCTTCAAATCCTTAAAAGAATTACGAAACAATGCGGATATTATTATACTTAAACCCGATAAAGGATCTGGTGTCGTAATTATGAATAAGTCCGATTACATAAATAAAATGGAATCGATTCTCAGTGATAAGAGCAAATTCATGGCTGATGTTGACTCTGATGGATTACATAAATTAGAAAAGAAAGTAAACTCGAATCTAACAAAATTGTTAAACATGAACGCTATTAACAAGGATGAGTTTCATTTATTAAAACCTATGGGTTCGGTGTATCCTCATTTATATGGATTGCCAAAAATACATAAGCCTAATATCCCTTTACGTCCAATTCTATCAATGTGTCGGTCACCTACACACAAACTTGCGAAATGGCTTACAAAAGTATTAAATCCTATCCGACATCAATTTTGTAAGTATTCCTTGATTGACTCATTTGATTTGATTAAATACTTAAAGGATATGAATATAAAAACAAAGACAATGTGTTCTTTTGATGTGAACACTTTATTTACAAATGTACCCCTCAGAAAAACTATTGATATTTTATGTGACTATATTTCACTTAATAATCTTCCATTGTCATTTCCTGTTGAAACTCTTAAAGATCTATTATTATTGTGCACTGACAATGTAAAATTCACATTTCAAGGTGAGCACTTTCGACAAATTGATGGCGTAGCTATGGGTAGTCCTTTAGGACCGTTGCTGGCGGATGTGTTCATGGGGTATGTTGAAAATTTAGCTGAAAACTCCATCCAAAAGATGTGTTTGTATAGACGATACGTTGATGACATCATAATCATAGGGGATAAATGTGAAGACGTGAACCGCTTGTTAAAAGAACTCAATACAAGTCAAAAACATATTTCTCTTACGTGCGAAGAAGAGAAGAACAGCCACCTTCTTTTTCTAGATATACTGATCAGTAGGAGAGAAGATGGTTCCATCCAACGTTCTATGTAAATAAAGCCGATATGGACGGGGCAATACCTTAATTTCCATAGTCACTGCCCAATTAATTACAAACGTGGATTAATAAAGGGCTTATTCAATAGAATCAATCGTATTTGTACTAGTGATACTATTGAAATAGGAACGAAGCTTTTAACTAATACGTTAATGAATAATGGTTATTCATTTAAGTTAATAAACCGCTGGAAGGGTTGCAATACGATTTGACCTATGACGTTTCTGGCACCCAAAAAGCGAGTTTATATTACATTACCATTTAGAAGTGACTCAAATAGTCTCGTGTTGAGACGGAGACTAAAATTAGCCATAAACAGGACATTCTATGCAGCTCAACTTGTCATCATTGAAAAGACAAGGTCGATGTTTCACCAAAAACCTAGCAGCACATAAGCGATTGTGTCACATCCCATTGTGTATACCAATGTACATGTATGTGTGGTAACACGTACATAGGGAGGAGCAATCGTGATTTGCAAATAAGGGTGGCGGAACACATACCTAAATTGGTATATAATTCCCATTTAAACATTAAAATTAAAACACAGATTTCAGCGAAGGGATCTCTTTTTCAACGAATTTATTATCAAGCTGTACAATCGTATATATATATATATGAAAATGTTTTGTTAAAGTACTAATTCCGTGAGGAAATGTGAACACTAATAACCAAGATTATAATACTGGATTACGTAGTATGAATAACAACAATAGATTTAGTGAATATAGTAAGACGGATAAATTGTTTTGGTTACAATAATTAAAGGTCATTAAAGGTCATAGAGGTGTAAAATAAATAGATAAATAAATAAGGTGATGAGTATTCATGAATAAAATAATGAGAATATAAAACATAAGTAAAGGGGGAATGGAGTAATAATAATAATAAAAGAATGATAGTAATAATAATATTAAGGCCATGGTAACGATAATGTTAAAACGTACTTCTTTTGTACGCATAGTTCTGGTTTGAGCTCATGGATGGTAAGAGCTTCGGATATTTTTAAAAGTTTGATCCGAAGAAATCTTGGTAGATTTGAACGAATCATATAAACAACCTTAAAATCAGACTGCGGATTCGTCGAATGATTACAGTCGATTAGGTGTTCGAGTATAGAACTTCGAACTGCTTTCTTTCCACCATTGTAGAACCAAGCTGGTATATGTTCTCGTATCCGGGTTGAAAGCGAGCGCTGGCTACGGCCGATGTACCTTGCTCCACAAGAGCAGGTGAACTGGTAGATGCACATGGAGGCGACCAAACGCGGAAGCTTATCTTTTATGGATACAGAAATTAAGTTCTTACTGGTAAAGGTTATTCGTAGTTTTGCAGCGTTAAATGTCCTTTTAATCGTTGTTGTTAAACGATTTTTAATTATGTCTGATGTTCGATCACCTTTAAATTCCAGACTTATATAAAGGCTTTTCTTTGGCACTGAATAACTAGGATTCTTATCGACGCTACTTCTGTTCATATTCTTCTCTATGAACCGGTCTGGGTAGCCATTTTTCAACAAAGTTTTCTTGAGGAACGCTAGTTCTTCGTTGATGCATTCTGTACTACATACCTAAATGGCTGCAGAACCAAATGAATTCCAATGGTCAAATAAGATCACAGGATAGACAAACATCTTCCTCCATTGCGAAACATTTAGTTGAAACTGGTCATAAGGTTGACATCAAATCAGCGTTTGTAGTGTTGTACAAAAGCCTTCAAGGACGTATACTAAGGTTTAGTGAAGCCTTGACTATACGGAAATTGAAACCCCCTTTATGTGTTCAAAAACAATTTGTTCTTACCCTTAACCTACCCTGGTAATGCTTATTTATTATCCAGAGTAGTCATCACATTGTTTTTGTGTACTTTATTTATTTTCTTACCTTAACCTGTATAGTTGACCTTTTAATTTTCATATAAAAAATGTCTTAACAAGTATATGTGTGATCAGATTGTTTGAAATGTATTGCGCTAATATATCACATAATTCTGATAAACTTCGTCTTCTCATTGCATTATCAAAATTTATCAAAGGGACTAATTGTTTTAATTTCTTTTTGGCTAATAGTCATTTAGTCTTTGTTTCTGAAATAAGTTTAGTTCAAGGAAAAGTCCCTTTCAGTGTTGTTGTAAGTCATTTGTTTATTACTAAAATCTTACCAAAATTGAATAGCAGAAATGTAAGTATTAAAAAAAATTCATTCGCTGAGATTTTACAAATATATTATTCCTATTTAATGTCTTACTTCAACTCGGCGCTCAAATACTGTGAAACTATTCGTTCTAATTTAGACGAGAGTTCTTATATAAATGCAAGTATAAGTTGGAAGTTTAGAATTTTTCATTAAATTCACTTATATGTATTATAAAGGGTTTTTAGGTATATTTGTTTGCCCAAAGACTTTACAATAACTGTCAATACTCTTTTTTATTTAGTCATTTAAAAATAATATGCTCGTGCCAGCTAGACATTTGGTAGTACAAAAATGGTTAGTTTTCTAAAATTTAATTATGTCAAATAACATAGATCTTAGTAGTGAATCCAGAGTTCTGCGCTATTTCGTTCATTGGATTGGAATTGAACACTCTTTTTTGTTAGGAAGCAATCACTAATTCTGCGAAGCACCAATAGGAATCGTTAACAAACTATTTCAATGGTTTCTTTTTCGGTATTAAAATGAGTGATTAATAATCTGTAATATAAAACACTTGATATTCACTAACTTGTACCATCTCGCTCTAATTTTTTTCTTTGTAGTTTTGCTTTTCCTCGTATTTTTCTGTCACGAGCATTCTGGACACCAGAACAATGTAAATCTATCGATACAAAATGTTTGAAAGATCGATTTGACTATCGTACTCAATCTTTATTAAAGTTTAAACTTCTGAAAATAATTTACTCGTCTCCATGTTCTATGAATTATTCTCAACCTATTTTGAAGTCTTTACGAAAGTTAGCTAGTGCGTTAAGTCAGGTTAGTTTATTAGTTTGAAGTATATAGATTTACGTTAATTCTTTGATAAACTCTAACATTTTAGTGTTGTTTCAAGTTTTCTAAAAGAAAAATCCGTTTTTACACATATACTGGTTAATGATTTATTCATGTAACGTTTGTAACAATGTTTTCCTTATGTCAGAATGAAAAACCATTTTTAAAGTCTTGGTTTTGAAGATAATCTTCATCCGTCGTGAAACCACCTAAAACCAGGAAGCGTTGAATAGCTATTCTATTACCGTTCCATATTTGTCATCAGTACGTAGCCGGGACCTTAAACATAATCGAGCTTGTGACCTTGAAGTTTCACAGCGAGCTCAAGATTTACATTTCCAACCTTATTCAATCATCGTCTAAGTATTCGTTTTTATATGAAATATGACCCGACTTTTATTGTACTTTGAGTACAATCATCATCTAAGCGTATCTAGAACATTAACCACACATATGCTCCTTTTGATATTAGAATATATACCATGCTTTGTTAATGTTATATGTATTCAAATTACGATTAGCACTTTACGGGATTGGATTTTGAGCTCATTGTTTTATATTCACAGATGGATCCTAAATATTTTGTAAAGATCATATCTTTGTTTTAAATTGTTTTATTGAATCATTGTTGGTGTTAATTTTATATAAATTGAATTCATTTTATTAACTTGAACATTTAACTCTTTTCCTGCATACACGTTAGTGTTTTAAAATAGCCAGTAGAATTGACCAATGGTATTCCAACAATTCATAATTGTTAGTGTTGTCTAGACATCATAAATCTAAATGTGATGTTCTTTCATAATTTGTATTTATTTCTCTTAACAACTAAACTATCATTGGGTAAAAATATTTGCGATTAAATGACCATCTAACTGAATAAATGTAATAAAACTTGACAATAAAATAGACATACTATGAAGTAATACCGGAAAGATGAGTCGTTAAGGTTATTAAATCTCCCAATCGAATGCATTTTCAGTAATCCAGTTTTCTGTAGGTTTCTTTACTATCACGTTAAACCCATTAATTCACAATGTTAGTGTAAATATTTACTACTGATTGATCACTGGTTAGTGATCAATGTCATGTATGTCGGCTCTTTCATAGTTCAGACTGAATTCTATTGACCACGTTGCAATGTGGCCACTAGTCTAGGTGACTCAACATCGCGTACACTATCGCGTGAGATGGTGATTGACTACCTTCAACCACCATCTCAGTGTAGATATATTTATATAGATATTTTGAAACTTTTATCTTCAAATCTCGTCAACATCAATCCAGTCTTTAGTCAGGTGTACTCTCTCTCTCTATCAACGGGCTAGTTAGCGTGAAACTGTACTTTCTCTGTCGGTTCGTTTTTTTGTTGGTAAATTAGTTTCAGTTTCGCTTGAATTTATGTGAATGCAAACAAAAACCAACAAATGTATGTTTAATCTGAATAGGGAAAATGTTCATCTAGTTACTGTAACTGAGTTACAAAATTTATATGGAATAGATGGAATGTGGCTAGCATCGTCGAATCCAGTGACTATCTAGACTTGGTAACTTAGTGAATAACGTGATGTGATTTGAAACCAATGGTAATGGATTCAAGTCACGGAGTGTACATCAACTCTGTGATGTAGGTTCATTCAGCTGGCGGGCCCCAAACAGGACTGAACGCGTGTCCTGGATTCCACTGCTAGCTACATTCTATTTCTTCATTATCAACCTATGTCGTCTTGGGTATGTCGGGGCAATCGGCACAGGCTTGCTTAATTATCAAATGGACATTCATGAACTTTATTTTAGGCAAAGTTTTGTTAATCAGACCAAAGTAGAATAAAAAAAGCATATATTATAAGTTGAGATTTATATTAAAGTTTACAGTTTATCTGCAGACATTCAAAACTCCATGAAGTCAATTTAATTGTGAAGTAATAACTTTTTACTTGAACCTCATCGATTGAACATTATTTGTACCATATGGTTACTTACTTACTTGCTCACTTATGCCTTTTACCCCTCGTGGAGGAGCATAGTCCGCCAACCAACATTCTCCATCGAACTCTATCTTGGACAATCCTTTTCAGTTGCTATTCATCCTTTTGATATCTGCTTTCAATTCCCGGTTTGTATGCTTATTGTAAACCATATGGCGACACATCCACCATTGTATTCAGTGAGTTACTATCTCACATCAGACCTGGTTGAACTCCATTGGTCACTGCTTCTCACTAGAACTCCAGGAAATACCTCTTGAAGTCAGTCGTGGTTGCGCACTGCTGAGGAGTCCCATACTAAGACGAAACGGGCGTCCAGTGCTTTCAGGTTTTCCATGGTGGTCTAGCTTAAATTCACTCATGAATTCAACTGTTTGATTAAATTTTAGCCTAATTTCCTCAGCATAGCTTATCTTCTCAGTCAATACATTCTACTTTAAAAGTGAACTAATGATATTGTATGTGTATGTGTGTGCATGTGTTTATTGTAATCATATCAATTCATTATGCATGTTTATACTCGTGAATATTTACTTGACTAGGATTAGTTTAGATATTTTTTTACTATATTGTAACTGTGAAGTTTGATAAGATTGTGACTTACGGACTGATAACCTTCATCAAGTGACGGACTATGAATAACACCTTATAGGTGTCTATACAACGACTTATAACTTGACTTAGTGTACGGTTAATCAACGAATCTATACATGATATCTCATTATCAGAGCTGGTATAGAGAGCATCACTTGCAAATGTTCTTTAGTTCGAAGATAATTCAGATAACTGTCTCCTTGCTGTAATATAGGATATAATTATATGAAACAATATACAAACACTTCACTTCTACCCGAAGTTTGTCCTGATGATGTCGTTCAGAAGGACGATGAAAGCTCCACGACCAAACCATCCAGATCAGAGAACAAACCAACATCAAAAAAAATACGGTGTTATGTTTCATATCTTTTGTGAAAAACTAAGTTGATAGGTTTTCTACCTCCCACGTTGACACTAATTGGCTCTGAAACCACCTATTCACATGTCCAATGACCCTTGATTGCATTGTTCGATTACTCCTCCCTATGTATGTGTGTCCAGACAAACATGTAAATTGGTAAATACAGTGGGATGTGACGTGAACATATGTGTATTGTCTAGGTCTATTTGGAATCATGGGCTTAGAATTTTCAATCACAACCAATTGAGCAGCGTAATAGATTTTTTTGATGACTGCTTTCAATCTCTGTCCTAAAACTATACAATTGGATTCACACCTATATGGTAGATAGATATAAACTTTCTTCTTTGGAATCGAGTAAACGAGAGGTCTTGGAATTAACTGACTAACGTTAGTGGATAACCATTTGATATTAATGTATCGGTCAGCAACTTTTCATCTTTTCAACCGTGCCAGTAATGTAAATTCTTTGAATCTTATCATAGAGACAATCAACCAGGCCTCACTTGCATTGCAATGGACAGAAACTGTGAAAATTTAACTTTTACCTCGTCCAAGTTGATTTCCTATAAACTGACTGTCTTATAGTACCCTCCTCCCTTCGACTCAAAAGTATGTCTAAAAAAGCCAATTGGCCATTATTTTCTGCTTCATAAATCATCACAATATGATTTTGAACCTCACTAAGTTTATCTGATAACTGAGCTTTCCCCATGTCCCAATGTTCATGTGTTCAAATTAATAGATAAATGTCTGCTTACATCTGAATGCCTGAAATAAATTCTTCCAGGTTGTGTCATATTTGCTGTTTTTTTACCACCGTTGCTGCTACCTTGACGTGATGGTCGGGCTTGCCTATCGTGATGAAACAATCGAGCTATACTGGCTGGAACAATCGTTCCTCAAGGTCCTTCCACGCCAGACAGGTCGGTTGAAGAGCGGTAAGACTAAAAGCAGCAATTCCAAAGTCCGAAGGCGAAGTCGTACTGCCGACTGTACAGAGGTGTGACGGCAGTAAGGTGTTTCCTTCAGACAACCAGCATGACAGTGATCCTGCCTTCCCACAAGAAGGGGTGGGGTTGGAAAAGTTTACCCTAAAAATGTTACTCCTCACCTTAGCTCACGGATTTCCGTCTCCGACGGTAAGGTCCTTTGAAAAACGGAGCTAACACGTCAAAAATCCCCCACAAGAAGGGCGTGCGTGACCGGCCTCAAGCAGTTGTCCCTTTGGCACTGCGTTCACGCTCCCAGGTCGTTAGAACCAACACTAATCCAATTTCTTTTTCTGGTCCCTCAAAAAATACCTTTCCACGGTGTGGGCACACGGGTAGTGATATTAGCCTTCATACCCGTAACTGCACACGAGAACAAGTTGGTCACATTCAAATCCTTCCTACACCTGACTGACAATGAGATTAGCTTAAGTATGACTGATATATCTGAAGCGCTACGAATTCACTAGTAACGAACGGAACAAAGACACGTGACCAGAGACCGATAACTAGCTATACTGACGCGACCCAGACCCAGCTAACTAGAGTAAGAAGTCCAAGTTGGAGCGGGGAAGTTATATTCCGTAGCAGCCAGAAGCACAGTAATCAAATAAGGAAAAAGTCAAGCGTATTTATACAGTAACGAAATGTCCTTGGGGATCGTTAATAATTAGCACATACAAAGAAACAATGGACCAATAGCGTTTAAGATAGTTACAAGTGGGAAATACGATGTGAAGGTAATAAGAGCACGTTTTGGCGCGAAAACAGTTAAATTCAAATTTACAGAATAAAATTACAAAATTGAGCCACTTATCAAGTAAGTTCTGGGGATTTGACATCCCCAACAATGACATACGAAATTGTTCGAGAAATTGTATCTCATTATTGTTGTCATAATGGTGTCAAGGCGATGCCTCAGTTATTTATTTTTGGAAATATAACGAAAATATTTTAATTTTTTTCAGTTGATTACTGTCCTAAGTTTGTTCATGAAATAATCTTTTTGGCTCTATCAAAATTTTAACTCCGTTCTAATCGTGTAATTTAAAACATCATTTATCATGCTTTAATAATTAATTGCATTCATTGACCAAATGGCATAGGAATAAATTATGTATAAATACAAAACTTTGTTCACTTTGATATACTTATAAATTGATGAGCTTTTGTCTGAAACTCAATATATTGTGTTATATAGATTGGTTCGCCTATTTGGAGAACAGTGAATTTATTGATTGCTCAATGATACACAATAGCCGTATGACTAGTCTCGTGCACTTATCACTCCTGCTACCTGCCTAGTCCAGCCAGTTAAGTCCACAACACCAATAACAGCCTCTGTATTATGAATCATTATTTTCAAACATATTGAGTTTATATACCAACCAACAAAATAGGAAACAACGTTTGTACAAGATTTAACCAAATGTGACTGTGAATAAGGGAGATAGTAATTAATGAACTGGGTGCAACTCAAGAACAGCAAATCGTATAATAATAGTCTATAGGTCAAAATAAGGCTTATAATAAGAGGGACACGAATATGAATAGTTTAGTTACTTAACAATTGTACAATAGGAAATATGCATATCATATTGGTCTATAAATAGTTCTCATAGTTACCATTCATAAATCTCCACGGGATATAACATATTGTTCCCTTTTGTTTTAAAGACAAAATGATTCAACTAACTGAATGAAAGAGTGAATTCAACTTAAACGAATTGATATTTGTATTTTCACAACTTAATTAGCTAGTTTTATTTAGTGTATTGAATTATATTTTCTTTTGTATTATGAAAGCTTATATATATATATATATATATATATATATATATATATATATATATATATATATATATATCAGTAGCGGTAAAAAGATTGAACTTAGACAATATGATTCAAAAACAAATAGTGAATTCACGGAATAAAAAGTATAATTATCTTGAGACAGTGATTTCATCTGTGTCATTCATTCCTGAAGAGCCTTATGAGTAGTACCTTTTGAGAACTATTCATGAACTAATACTATGTGGATTTTTTTATTGGATAATTATTGACTAACTAAACTATTCATATTCACAGCCGTCTTATTGTAAACTTTATTTTGACCCATAGACTATTATTATACGATTTGCCTTTTCTTGAGTTATACCCAGTCTATCAATTACTGCTTCTCACATTCACAGCCACATTTGGTTAAATCATGCTCAAATAATGTTTTCTATTTTATGATACTATTTGGTCTGTCTGGTTGGTATATAAACCCATTATGTTTGAGAATAATGATTCATATTACAGAGGCTGTTATTAGTGTTCTGGACTTAACCGACTGGGTTAGGCAGATAGCAGGACCGACATGTACTTTAGACTGCTCGTACGGGTTTCGTATGTCATTGGTCCGATCGATAACTCACTGCTCTCTAATTGGCGGTATTATCACGTTATACACAAACAGGGCATCCAGGCGGCCACACGAGTTATAACACAAACCTATTCCGAGAGATGTTATCCAACGTCTCCAACTATTAGTAACAATGATAGCCTAGACATTAATCGACTAGTAATAACCTACTTATGTAACAAACCAACATTCAATGACTTTATGAGCTTATATTACAATTTAGTTTGATTGCCCCAAACTTTCTTCCAACCTTCTTCTACCCTACACCAGTAGGCAGTAGCTTGGCATACCTAATGCATCCCTTGGTCACTTCATTAGAAAACAAGCTTTTTGTGGTACCAATCAACTCGGCATTTTTTTATGGTATGCTTCTTTTTACTGCAGTGTTGGCTATATATACGTACAATGCTTCAAAGGGGCCTATGTTTACATACAAGTAACCTTATTTATTTATTTATTTGAAATTTAAAGCAATTAGTCCCTTTGATAAATTTCAATACTGTAATAAGAGGACGAAAATTATCAGAACTACTTGATGAGATATTAGCGCAATACATTTCGAACAATCTGATCACACATATACTTGTTAAGAACATTTATATATAAAAATATATATAAATCAAAATTGATACAAAGGGACACCAAATACATAGAGGCCACACAAAATGCCATATGATTTGTTTGCGTGTGTGTGTGGGCTGTAATACTGCCCGGGTGCCCAGACTGAATCAGGGCTAGTAACCTACAAAGGCCGTGTATCTTGGTCATAAATTAGAGCAAAGCAATATTTTATAAGAATTCAAAAGTTGCTTGTCAGTCGTTTCACCGTGATCATCTGATATGAGTCCCAAGTAAAAGTAATTTCCAAATTACTAAAGGGAATATATGGTGATTGATAATTTTTAATACAAATTGTTTATTGGCAAATAAACATAGGAGTTATTTCGAATAAAGTTAGTTATGCATTTCTGATAAGTTTAGCTAATTAATTAAACAATGTGGCTTAGTTTAGCAAAAGTAAGTTAAATTTTCCTTAGTATGTTAAAATGTTAAGTTGTGTTTACTAGGTTCTTCACACTACTGGTAATATCTCTGTTTTAGTTGTAAAACATTTCAAGCTCATGTTTAGTTTCCTCGTATTCTCCAGGTAATTTTTCGTTTGCAGTGTTTTTTTATAATTGAATCTAAGTCTTTTGATGATGGACTATAGAACTGTTTGATTTAACAAAATTCGATCATAGGTGTCTTCCAAGCATTGCTCGTATATCCTGGGACCACCGAGTAAGTAATGCAGTTGTTAGGAAACGGTTACTAGGTAAGGATGGCAAATCGATTGATGAAGTAGTGAAACTTCATCAGTTGAGATGGTTGGGACATGCGTTACGTATGCCCGACCACCGACTGCCCCGACGTGCAATATTTCATGGTGTAGGAGTAGGTTGGAAGAAAGCTAGGGGTGGCCAGACCGAAACGTGGCACAAATCAATGAAGTCACTGACAATTGGACTGAACCATGTTGGTAGGTGTAGACTACCTGGTTGGGATTCGCGAGATGACAGCAACCGATGGTTGGAGACCTTGAATGACATGGCTGAAAATCGTTTGCAATGGCGAAGGTGCATACACTCTTTGTGTTCTACTAAATTCTAACCTTTTGAATTCTTCATGTCCCTATCCTTTTTCTCTTTCCAAATTTATTTCACTGGATTATACTCTTTGAATAACATCTTCAAACCCTAATCTTTCACATAATGTTTATACTCTTACTACTTGTGCCACTATAGGATTTGAATGGACAATTTCATCTCTGTGCTAATTTGGTATGGCAACTCGAACTGATGTGCGTACTTACGAAGTTCTACGTTGTGACTGACTGACTGACCGATTTAACAAAATTATCACTACACCGTATTACAAATTCTTCATATTCATCATTTTTACTAAGTGCAACGATTCACTTATGATATATCATCATGAAGTGACCATCTGATAAAGAAGCATATTATTTACTCTTTGTATTATCGAATGAGAAATATATGCCGTACTAACTATATTCCAAGAAAGCTTGGTTTCATGCGTAAACTTATTGAAGAGATACACAGTCAGAATGTCAGAAATTATATGTGTTTAAAGCTATGTTGTTTGTAGTTAAACGTTTTGTAAATTTCACAAAATGCAAGTAACCGTCTATATTTGCGAAAACTAGTATTCGTCTTTTATTTGGTACTGTATAAATTTACCGGATTCTATTTTCTTTAAAAGCAGGGTACATTAACTTCAGTCTTAGTAGATGTCGCAGAATAGTTGTTTAAAAAAAAGACTAGGTATATTAAATAATTTCCTTTAAATTCTGATCCAGTTCTATTTGTGTTCTCTGTTGGTTTATATTTGTTTCTATTTATGAGCACATTTTTTTCCAATATTATCCTATTTTCGAAAAAAATATCTGTCGTTTATTTTAGGCTTCAATATTAGAACCAATTTCGGCCGAAGAAATTTGTGATTTAATACCTGCCTTTAAAGGTCCATTATCATTAGAACAATTAGATACGAGTCATTTAGTAAGTTATTCTGTTTTATTTTATGTGACAATAGTATTCACTCAAAATAAGATTATGATAATAATAATAATAATAATATCTTGATATTATAAGCAAAGATGGATCGTGGCTTGCAGTGGAATCCATGACGCGCGTTTCGTCCTGTTTGGGACTCGTCAGCTGGACGTACCTGCATCTCAGAGTTGATGTTCACTCTGGGAATCAAACTCAGTACCTTTCGCTTCAAACGCCATCGCGTCATCCACTTAGCTACCGAGTCCTGATAGCCACTTGCTGGTGCAATGGGGTGAAGTTTAAATTCACTTAATATTGTTTGCTTGAATCTTCCAATTGATGTTTAGGACTGCAATTGATCAGTCTCTTATTGGCATATGTCAGTCAGTCAGTCACAACGTAAAACTTCTTACGTACTTACATCAGTTCGAGTTGCCATACCACATTAGCACAGAGATGAAGTTGTCCATTCAAATCCTATAGTGGCACAAGTAGTAAGAGTATAAACATTATGTGAAAGATTAGGGTTTGAAGATGTTATTCAAAGAGTATAATCCAGTGAAATAAATTTGGAAAGAGAAAAAGGATAGGGACATGAAGAATTCAAAAGGTTAGAATTTAGTAGAACACAAAGAGTGTATGCACCTTCGCCATTGCAAACGATTTTCAGCCATGTCATTCAAGGTCTCCAACCATCGGTTGCTGTCATCTCGCGAATCCCAACCAGGTAGTCTACACCTACCAACATGGTTCAGTCCAATTGTCAGTGACTTCATTGATTTGTGCCACGTTTCGGTCTGGCCACCCCTAGCTTTCTTCCAACCTACTCCTACACCATGAAATATTGCACGTCGGGGCAGTCGGTGGTCGGGCATACGTAACGCATGTCCCAACCATCTCAACTGATGAAGTTTCACTACTTCATCAATCGATTTGCCATCCTTACCTAGTAACCGTTTCCTAACAACTGCATTACTTACTCGGTGGTCCCAGGATATACGAGCAATGCTTGGAAGACACCTATGATCGAACACTAGTAGCCTACGAATATCCTCTACTCTTATTGGAGGTTTAGCTGATGAAACCTCCAGGAGTTGAACTTTTACCGGGAGATTCACTTGTTGACTTAGAATACGCCGACGACATAGTTTTACTCGGTGACATATGTGCATACTGTGCTAGCCATACTGTTAGTCACTATCCATCATTGCCTAAAATGCTTGTGAACTAAGGCTATATCGATGCAATACGCACAGTATGTACATATGTCAATAAGAGACTGATTAGTTGCATTCCTAAATATCAGTGCGAAGATTCAAATAAACAATACCAAGTGAATTTATTTTTTTAATACTTGAATTCATGAGTCGATATAAGTTAATGTTTTTATAAAATAAAAAGTCTTTCCTTACACGGAATAGATGGGAGGACAAGCACGGCCATTGAAAAGGTTATATTAGCTTAAAACAATTTGATTAATACTGATGAAGATGAATTAGTAGCAAGAAGAAGTTTTCCAGTATCATTATTAAGCAACTACTTCACATTCGATCCGTCCGCTGATTCCTAGATCTTGGCAGTTATTTAACTAAAATCAGTCCTTGATGTAAACTTAAAAAGGTCAATAACCTTCGCAGATTCCTTATGGTAATCATTGCTATTGTTATTTTTTTTTGTTTTATATTTAAACCGGCTGTTTACCCCTAGAATATCTATCGTTGTTCACTTCCAGTGACCCATAATTTTCCACTCTACGCGTCATTCCTACCACTGAAACGTATATAACTGTCACTTTTTGCATTATTTCTTATGCACCATCACTGTTATATCTCTTATAGTTGATATTAGATGTTTGTTAACTATGATAGCTGAAAATAATGTGATTAAAAATTATACTACTTGGATTATGACCGGTAATAAATTCCAAAATAATGAAAAGAGTATAAGGTTTCGTACAGAATACATATTACTATGCAACTTATTATAATAAAGCTGATATTCTTTCAAAGTTTCTTAATTTTCTACTGTTATATACCTGATTCTAACTTGTGGCTTATTACCGAGTCCTAGATATTAACGAAAAAAGTCGACTAATCATACATATTTCTCTTACTTCATAATAGCTTTAATTATACACTTTTCGAACTGAGTTCAATATAAAAAAGTTTCATTAACCAATGTTTATCCATGTAGTTTCTATGATTTATACATAATAATTGGCACTTGCTCTAGATTCAGTAATAGGATGACGAGAAGTACATGTAATTCTGCGGTTATTTTTCCATATTGGTTTTATTTATTTTACTTGTTTCAATTATCTATATAAAAGCGAAGAGAACATTTGATTGATCACAAATTGTTAACTAACGTCAGGATGAACGAATTCTATCGATCATGTCTCAGTGTTCTTATTAATCTAAATTATTCGATATCCTATAAACTATATTGAGATATTAGTTGATTGAAGATATTCTCTACACGATACCCGAAATCTAAGTTTCTTGATAGAACTGATGTTTCATGTAAAGTTCAAACTTGCATCGCCTTACTTCACAGTTTCATACGTTACATATGAGCTATTTGGGTCATGAATCACTTTCAACCACCTAACAAGTCAATAGAATTTAGACAAATATATAACATAACTGCAATTATTTACTACTAATAAATAACCATCATCAAGAGATTATAGTAATCTGTTTCATATTTAGATAATTGCATACAAATCATTTATTTTTATCATGCTTCAAGCTTATCATATCATTTCTGTACACAATTCTCAAAAGTATAGTTCAGGTGTTTCCCAGTCAGTAATAATTCATTTATAGATGATATGAAAATAATGCTCATACAATATAAACTATCTTTATCCATTGAGAATAGAAAAAACAATTTGAACTGGTTTATTTATTTATTTAAACACATACATGTGGGTACAAAGGGGCACCAGATACATATGCGCCACACTTGAACTGATGGATAAAACTGAACACAGAGAATTTTCCCAGAGCATCTTTGAGATACTTGAGATAAATTCTAAGTAAAATTAAATAAGTCAGGACAGTTTTGTTGTATATTGTTAATTATTTTATTATGAAGAATTTTTCTAACGGAATTCAGCTGTTTTGTTATCATATTGTAACTTGAATGGTTAAGAAAGACTACTAATCATATCACTGCATACTCATATGCTTCTAAATCGCATTTCCTAGATTATTTTCATTCTTACTTGTACTAATCAAAATAATCATTCAAATTCATTAAGTAATAATTATACATCTAACTTACTTCAATAAAACTCCGCCTGTAGCTCTTCGGGGGCTACTGCCTGTCCCAAACCCGCATAAAGGAGGAGGGTTGGGCATGGGGTTAGCGACCCCATCCCGTAGAAAACCAACTCGCTAAAAAAACGCTAACCAGTAAGTAAGTTAGGTCAATAAGCTTGATTTCACTACCGTGAGTTGTAAACATTGAATCAACGAGGTTCATCCAACTATTCAATAAAATTGTACGAGTTAGGATAATTTATGATCCCGTCATGTTTATGTAATCGAGATTTAATCCAAAATAGATAGAGATACTTTCAAAACAGTTACTACTTCAACTATCAACTCATCATTTCTCACTAATATTTTTTAAAACCAATAATCCTATTCACTTGCTGTTGTATACTTGTATCTTTCCATTAACTCTGACATGCAGATACATTCAGCTAACGAGTCCTAAATAGGTCGAAACGCGCGTTTCGGATTCCACTGCTAGCCATTATTCATTTTTGCCAATAATCTTATGTTTTAAAATGACAAATTTAAATAAGTACTATGGTTTAAATCAATTGCTTTATTCAGTGTATGTATAATTATTCTTTAATAGCTAATTCATTATCAATGTTTTGATATATACTTTGAAGAAGTGGCTTACATTAAGTTACGAAATGTCAGAAATACTAATTTTCTACTTATTGGGATATAACAAAAATATATTTATCATTAACTCTCTACTCAATTCTCAATTTATATACAACTATCAAGTTCAACCTTTGTATTCATACTTAGAAGGTGGTATTTTGTTTCTGTTACTTTGTAAATATGTATAAGTTAAAGCTTTAAAAAAACAAAAAAAAAAAAAAAACAAGTTATATTGAAATCAGTGTTTAGTAATAACTTTGTTCTCACGGTATACAACCATATTTTTTTTGTTGCGTTTTTAGATAAATGAATATCACTTATCTATTTCCAAAAATTAGTCTTAAAATATGAAAATTCTAGTTCTAAGATTATTTTATAATATTTAAGTTTTTATTTGATAATTTATTTTCTAATCTTTATTCTGTTATATGATTTATGAGGGATTTAATAATTGAGGGATTGTATGGTAGTTTATATCATTAGACGTACTTATTTACTAACTAAGTAAGTATGTCATTAAGACTATCAAAAAAGTGCATTCACTTGGTGAATGACACTCATTTGACAGTTGTTTATTCCATTAAGGCCTATAGCTAACTGATATCTAAAATAACTGTTTCAGCTAGTATATAGCTACTGCTAGGAAAGTCTTACTCATTACCATCTCGCGATAGGGGTTTTGTTTACGAAATTGAAAGGACGAAATGCAAATATTCAGTGTTTCAATCGGGTTGGTGGATAGGGAGGATCAACCGAGGGAAGTTGAAAAATCTCAATTCCAAACCAATGGTGCACATGGGCTTCAGGATCATGAACGAACAAATGGTTTGTGAACCTATTGTTGGTCACCGGCTACCGTGGGACTAAATCTCCTAACGTTGCTTCACTGTCTTATGGATTAGACCTCTAGGTCAAAGTATCGGGGAGTTAGCCACCTAAAAATATAGCCCCTTTGATGTTGGATCTCAAGCAGTATTCCAGCCCACATACAAATCATTCAATTTTTATGGTGCATATATATATATATATATATCATCCCGTCATATCAAGTGGAATATCTACTTCTCGTTTGAGGATGACAAAAATTATAAACATTGA